TTGATTCTCCTCCTGTCCCACTATCATGCTCAGTCCCCACCAGGATTTCAGCACTTCCTCTTTGTTACGTTCAAGGGGATAGTTTTAACAACAGACAAATCATTTTCTAATACAAGGCTCAAACTCACTGTCATTAAGTTGATTCTGACTCACGGTGACCTTCCAGGACAGGGCAGAGCTGCCCCTGTGGGTTTCGGAGACGGTAACTCGTTCTGGGAGTAGAAAGCCCCTGGTTGCTTTGAACTGACCTTGTGCTTAGCAGCCCAGTTTGTAAACACTGCACCACCAGGGCCAGGGTGCCACCAATGAAAGGCTGGATGCCTTCTGAATTCAGAGTGCCAACTCTCTCGCTCTCTCTCTCCCTCCCTCCCTCCGTCCATCACTTCATGTCTCTTCAACTTCTGCCTTCTTTCCCTGTCTTCCCCTCTGCTCAATTGTTTAACGTCTTTTATGTCATAGAAGAGATCTACTCAAGATGCACCCCATGCCGTTCCTGCCACATGAACAGAACAGACAACTCAGTCACGAGTGGAAGGACAGCCACACACATGGAGGTTAGGGTATACCACACAGCCCGCAACAGCTTTTGTGCTGTCGAGTAGGTCCCTACCCTGCCCACGTCTGCACCCTGCTCATGGTCACGGCTGTGCTTGAGCTCATGGTGGCCGCCGCGGGGCCAGCTCCTCTCATCGAGGATCTTTCCTTGCTGACCCTCTACTTTCTTGGGGATTGGCCCAGCCTGTAACATCCAGAGTAGATGAGACAACATCTGCACATCCTCACTTCTAAGAAGCATCCTGGCTGTCCTTCTGCCAACACAGATTTGTTTGTTTTTCTGGCAGTCCAGGGAATATTCAATAGTCTTTGCTAATAGCATAATTCAAAGGCATCAGTTCATCAATCCTCCTGATTTATTAGCTTTCACATGCATAGGAAGGAATTAAAAATAAAATCTTGGCTGTTGAACAAAAAGTAGTTAAGAGTAATATTTACCCACTTTTCTTCTGTGTTGTAATCTATTTCACATGTCCTTGCCACCTCCCTGTGCTCCTAAATACATGTGACGTTGTTAAAAAAAACTTCTGTGGAGAAGACCCGAAACAAACAACCATTTCGTTGCGAATGCAAGGGGTCGGAGCAGAGAACCAATGCCCATCTGTAGACAATTGGACATCCCCTCACAGAAGGGTCACAAGGAAGGGATGAGCCAGTCAGGGTGCAGTATAGCACCGACGAAACATAGACTATTCCTCTACTTCTTTAATACTTCCTCCCACCCCACCCCCGTCATGACCTTAGTTCTACCTTACAAATCCAGCTCGACCAGCACATGTACAGGGGTACAGATAAGAACTCTCGACACACGGAATCCAGGACAGATAAACCCCTCAAGACCAATAATGAGAGTAGTGATGCCAGGAGGGTAGAGGGTTGGGGGAGAAGGGAGAGAAAGGAGTAACCGATCACATTAATTGACGTACATCCCCCTACCCCAGGGGATGAACAACAGAAACATGGGTTTCAACAGAAATTAAGGGAGACAGCAGACGGTGTAAAATATGAAAATAAAAATAATATATAAATTATCAAGGGTTCACGAGAGTGGGAGGGTACAGGAGGGAGGGGAAAACAAGGAGCTGATACCCAGGGCTCAAGTAGAAAGAAAATGTTTTGGAAATGATGATGGCAACATATGCACAAATGTGCTTGATACAATTGATGTATGGATTGTTTTAAGAGCTGAAAGAGTCGTCAATAAAAATGATTTATTAAAATATTAATTAATTAAAAACATTTTTGTGGACTTTCTATTTTTAGGCCAGCTTTTCTTTTTAACCTCTTAATAGTTGAGTCGATCTAGAGAAAACAAAAAGACTGTAAGAGCCATGACATTGAATTATTTGATTCTCTCCTCTAACTTTCCGTAGTGATAGCTCACCTAGAAAAATGAGGGTTTTGCTTGCAGGAGTTAAATGCTGAGAAGTAAAGAGAAATCGACTCCAGCTATGAGATCTGCAAAGATCAGGCCATTTCTGTCTCTGTGTAGTTAATAGCTTGCCCTCTCTGGTTTACCATCTTTAATACTCAGAACCAGGAAAGTTCAAGTTAATGGTGTTTATCATAGTATCTGGTCAACCTGTTTTACATTTACCCTAAAATCTCTTGTCAAATTAAATTTCCAAAAACGTAAATGCCTATGCATTTAGGTCCCAGCTTCCTAAGCCGACCCTGCGGCATCTCTGTGATCCGACCAGACGGCTCTCCTGTTTCACAGTCCAGCTAAATAAAGCATACACTTTTGCTTTTCCTGCCTTGCTTCGTTGCTTACGTTGTTTCCTCTGCTCTCGGTTTAGCCCTCCTCCTCACTCGCCACATGTCCGGCTCGAAGGCGAAGCCCATGGTTTACCTAGTCGGTGTAGTAGTGCCGGCTAACACTGGCTAGTATTAATTACACACCTGGCACCGTGTTACAAACCTCCAGGTGACTTCATTTGTCAACTCTGTTCACTGGTATTCATTTCTCTCATTTCATGGGTGAGGAAACTGCCCAGGGGTTCAGAAGTGTTGTGCAATAGACCTTCGGTGTGAAGGCAGACAGCCTGAGACTGACTCTGTACTCTTCAGTCATGTTTACTAAGCTGTTTTATTAACTTCTCATGAAACCAATTTAATCACTTAGATCAAATGGTTAGCACCAGTTTTTCCACTGTACGTGGTGATTTGCCATCAGATTGGAAAATGCCTTAGAGAGCGTTGGGCGGGCAACTAAACTGTGGTCCTTGGAGCTGTCTAGAAGGCTTCTGGGGGTGGAGGGAGATGGCAGGTGGTGATAAGGGACTAGGAAGAGCAGTGGACAGCGTACCTGGCACCCCTTCATCCACAGCATCTCACACATGGTAATTTGCTTCTGTATTTTCCTTGATAGAAGGGTTCTGCTGCCAAAAGAAATAATATAGAAAAACCATATCAAATTGGCTAGTGTCCTCAGGCTTCAGATGAGAGTTAGAGACCCATGGGGGCTTTTCCAAAGCGACACAGCTGATTTGTTCTCAGGCCAGGGTAGAGGTGAGGCTCTTGAACCCCAAGCTATGACTTTTTGCTTTCTCTTGTTGCTTGACCTTTATTGCCTCATTGGCTCCTTTGAGAATGAGAACGTGAGGAAAGAAAGCCTGTTAGGTCCGATTCACTCTTTAAAAATGTACACAGTAATAACTCATTTTGCGTTCCACTATAGGGCTCTTTTAGAAGTCCGTGATCCTAACCCATGCACCTTTGCTTTCCATCATAGTACAGGCAGTCCCGGGATTACGAACAGATTCCGTTCCTAAACCTGTCTTTAAGTCGAATATTTACAAAAGTCAGAGTAGTTAGATATGGTTCATATCTAAGGTCTGTTAGTCAGATGTTTGTGATAGTATATAGTATCTAGTGTACCTTTCTATGCATAGAAAATGGTAAAGAAACACTTCCAGATATACAAATGGCATCTTTAACACAATACAGTATTAATAAAAATGCTTTACTAGGGTTCCAAAAGTAGTGTAGCTCCTGTTTGTTATTACAAACCCCGGCATGTACCTTGGGTTTTTAATATTACTGGGGTAGTTTGAAAGGGACATTCATAACCCAGCACTCCCCGGACTTTGGTTGAAGTTTGTTTAATGTCAGCTTTCAACCATTTGCCTTTCTGAATTGGCTTTTTTGTGTGTGTGAATTGAGTGAAGGTTTACAGAGCAGATTGTTAGTTTTGCATTCAGCAATCCATACACATTTTGTTCCAACTCACTGCTTGCCCCTATCCTCTCAGGGCAGCATCTCTCACCACACCCATTCATGTCTGTTACTGCTTCCTTCCTTGCGTAAATGTGCTCCTTTGGATCTGTAAAGTTTGCATATGCTTGGTGTTACTGTTCTGGGAATTGTGGGGTTGAAAAGTGGATGTGAGTTCCGTTCCAGATCTAAGGGTTACTAAAGACCCTCGTCTTGGGGGTCCCATTACCCTCTGTCAACCTCTTTTGTCATCTTGAGTTTAGTTTCACATTTTTTCTATGTGGGTGGCTTTTGTAAAAGTATTTGGTGGTTTGAAACAACGTAGTGTGACTTGTTCATGCTAAGCCTTTTCCTTTGTTGGATTAATTTGCCAGAGGCTAAGGGAAGTCCTGGCTCAGTCTCACCATGCCTGCTTGTTGAAGACAGTCTCTCTTGGCAGGCTGCAAGATGAACAACGTTAATGTGGTATACACACCGTGGTCTAACCTGAAGAAAACAGCTGACATGGATGTGGGGCAGATAGGCTTTCACAGGCAAAAGGATGTAAGTGTTTTGCACCACGAAGGCCATGGACTCCTGACACTGAGTGTACCATCATCTATTTTCTCTCTGACATTGCTGTCGAGGGCTGAGCATGTCTGTTTTTAAAGGGAATTAAAGTGGGTTACTGGCTGCTGAACCCCCCTAGGAAGGTTCTCTGCTATTCTGGCGGGGAAAGCATGTCATAAAGATGCAGTATTTCTTTCCTCTCTTTCCCTCCAAGGTAAAAATTGTGGCAGTGGAGAAGAAAGTGAATGAAATACTGAACCGATTAGAAAAGACCAAAATGGAAAGGTTCCCAGACCTAGCCGCAGAGAAAGAGTGCAGAGACCGAGAAGAAAGGAATGAAAAAAAGGCCCAGATTCAGGAAATGAAAAGGAAAGAAAAGGAAGACATGAAGAAGAAGAGAGAACTGGATGAACTTCGGTATGTTGTCGCTGTGGTATTGTTCTCAAGGCTCTTAAGTGCTGCCTAATGCTTAACAAAGATAGTACTGGTTCAGAGAGAGACATACAATCAGCTCAAAGCCTTAAAAGAATTAGAAGAAGGTATTTTATATTGTGTTCATTAAATGGATTTTAATTGCCCTTATTAGGATTTGAGCGTGTACAATTAAAGAAATAATTTTAAAAGTTATAATTCATTTATTAAAATAAATAAGCATAAGTATAATAAAACTCCCATAGGTTGTCTTTGGAGTTTGGTGTATAAATTTCTTCAGGAAAGGAAAAGATGCTGTAAGTGTTTAATATGGACCACATATTTATGTGAATAAAGTTGGTGGTGTAACGGTTAAGTGCTCAACTGCTAACTAGAGAGTTGGCAGTTTGAACCCACCTGTGATTCTGGGGAAAGCCCTGATCTGTTCAGGTACAGCTCACAGTCGAGACATTCCTGTGGAGCAATTGTGTTCAGTCACTTGGGGTTGCTATGAATCACAATCAGCTTGATAGTACCCAACACCATCATCATCATCATGGTCATTGCCGTGATCAACATCATCTTGGCTCTCAAGGCCAATGCTACCCACTTACACAGTGTCATCCAGTTGATTCTGACTCAGTGGCCTTCTTGAACAGAATAGATCTAGTCCACAGGGTTTCTGCTCTTTACAAGAGCAGACAGCCTCATCTTTCTCCCTTAAAGGCCAATGTTAATGTCTCTTAAAAGCTGTTTTAAAATCCTTTTTCTAAATTTTGATAGGCTAAAGTGAGTAATGTAATAAGGGCTGCTCCAAAGCATGACATTTTTAAACAATGAGGAGTAGTTAGAATGAAATTTGCATACTGAAATTCTTGTGTGTAAGGCCACGAGACAACAAATGTACAAATGTGCTTGACACAATGGATGTATGTATGGATTGTGATAAGAGTTGTATGAGCCCCCAATAAAATGATGTATAAAAAAAAGGCTATGAGAATACTGGCAATATTTATTATTATTATAATTGCTGCTGTAACAAACTACCAAACACTATTGGCTTCTGGTATAACACGAATTCATTATTTCAGAGTTCTTTAGTTTAGAAGTTTGACATCTCTCACGGGGCTGAAAGTGGCTTCAGCCAGGCTGTGTTCTTTTCTGGAGACATGCCGAGAGAGTCTTTCCTGGTCTTTTCCAGTGTCTAGAAATGCCTGCATTCCTTACGCCATGACCCCCTTTTGATCTTCACAGCCGGCACCTGACCATTTGTTCCTCTATAGTCATATCCCCGTTTCTGCCTTTAAGGACTAATATGGTAAAGTCCCACCCTGACAGAGTCCCCGTTTCAAGATCTGTAACTTAATCAATGACATTTGCAAAGTCCTTTTCCCGTATGGTCATGTGTTCACCTGTTTGGAGACGAGGCCATGGTCATCTTTGCCAGTATCATCATTCTACCGACTACACTGACACCAAATATGAGGGCTTCTAAGAGTTTGTGGGGGGAAATATTTCCGTTCTACTTTTCCATGAGCTTTTTAAAGCCGCCTTGTATGTAGTAACACGGGGCTCTAAAGTCCTAGGCTTCTTTGCTAAGAAAAGAAATTAATTCTGTAACTTCTAGTCAGAGTTCTTAGATCTTACCTCTTACCCCCACCCCCATGATTTTCCATAAGCATAGTTTGTGACCATAGACCTTTGGGAATGATCTCGTATCCATAACAAACTACTTTGCCAGATCTTGACTCAACTGCTTCACCCTTCCTTCTAGCCTAAGGAAGATTGGAGGGTAGAAGGCTGGAAGTCTGAATTGAGGGCACCGACGCTGCTGCGGGAAGTCCCTCTGTCAGCTCCGGGACAAGGCCCTTGTTTCCTTTAAGGCCTGTTCCGTGGTTCCCTGGCAGTCTGCACGTGGTGTGCCATCTGCCTACCCCCATCGGTGCTTGCTTCCTTTATCTGATTTACTCTTTTATATCTCAGAAGCGATTGGCTTAAGAAATATCCTATTTGGATAGGGATATAGTCCCACTAGGAAATAAAGCTTTTCTTTATGTTAATTAGTATATCACTTCTGAAATATGAAAGAGCAGAACTCAATTCATACCTCTAACAATCACAGTTCTCTCATCAAAGGACTTAACAATTTTAAAGGTCCCATCAATTTGGATATCTTATCATTACTTCAAACATAACATTTCCAAATGAAGCACATTGCGTTTTCAACTTTTCCCCATTTCTCTCATTGGTATCATCGGGGTTTCTTTTATTATTTGTTTTTATTTTTTCAGATTACTCCATATAGAAAGCTTGATGTCTTGACTCTTAGCAGCCATGCATTCATGCTCTTAGATTGGTTATGTTGCTGCAGGCTGGGATGTAAAGAGGAGGGGGTTAGGGGTCAGGCCAGAGTTTAAAACCTGGCTTCTCCACTTGTTAGTTGTAAGATACTGAACACCTTAACTTCTCTGACTGATTCCTTCTATGTAAGATGAGGTGAAGGCTCGATGCCTTTTAAAGCGGCTGTGGAAATTACAGTGATTTATAAAGGATTTAGCCTGGTGCCCTAGGACATAAAGGATAATCAGTAAATGACTTAATTTTATTATTAGCTGATCTGCTTGCCTTCTAAATTTATTATTGTAGCAATAAGGCGACAAATCAATAAAATAGTCTCCCATATGCTAGACCCTCCAGATCTGCTTAGCTGAACAGTCTTGTTTTGAAAAGTACAGTTTTATAATTTAGAGAGATTCGGGCTCATGCAATCCACGAAAACAGAGCAAATCCAACATAAATGACTTGAAAATTATTTTGTATCACTTATTCTCTGCTAACATAGCCAAGTGTATTTTTTAAGATGCCTTTCACGGTAGCAATTGTTTAATTAATATGTATTGTTCATGGTTGTTTAATAAACATGTATTGTTTTTCAGTATGTCTTTTCTCTGCTGGGGAATGTGTAGTGGGTTCTTGTTGATCGGATTGTGGTAACTCACATAAGGAGGATAACAGACCCAGGTGCACACATCGAACCTCTTTTCCTGCTATGCTTTGTGCACTCCCCTGGAGTTAGCTTCCGCTTTGAAGTGTGGTCAGTCTCATCTCTGTGCCTTTGCTCGTGCTGTTTTCGGGGTCTGAAATGCCTGCATCCCTCTTCCTGCCCATTTTTCCGTTGCAGTTTGAGTTCTGTCTCTCTATGTGAAAAGGTGTTCCAACAATTATCTGCCTACCCTGATGACTTCCCTCCTTTGACTTTGTATAGCATTGACTCGCAGTTCTGAACTGTTTAATGCTATCTGATCTTGGTTATTGATTAATATCTTCTTCCGAAAAGTAGGAATAATCCCACCTACTTTTGAACATTATATAAAGGTGACATGAAATAGAGTTTGAGAGAGTATTTTGTAAGCTAAAAAAGCAAACTTGGCACCATCAAGTTGATTCTGACTCAGAGACCCTGTAAGACAGGTAGACCTACTCCTGTGGGGTTTTGAGACTGTAACTCTTCATGGGAGTAGAAAGCCTTATCTTTCTTCTGTGTAGTGGCTGGTGCTTTGAACTGCTGACTTTTTGGTTAGCAGCCTGTCTTGAAATGCACTGTACCACCAGACACTGTATATTACTTGCGTACAGCTTTTTAAAAAATTATGCCTTCTCCTTAAGGGTATAAATCATATCTAAAAGCTTTTGTGTATTGTTTGTACCCTAAAGATCTTGGGCAATACTGGATACATGGTAAATGTCCGTGAAATGCACATTGACTGGATACCCTAATCTTTAATGTGCTTTTTCTTCTAGGAGCTACTCGTCACTAATGAAAGCCGAGAATATGTCTTCAAATCAGGTATATTCATTCAAGTTGTATGCTGTCATCTTGCACCTTAAAATATGTGTCTAAGGGTTTGTGATCATTGAGCCAGGGACCATTGTGGATGGGTGTTGACATGGTTTGGCCATCAGAGAGAGTCCTGGAGAGGTGGGCCAGACATGGCCGCTGCTTCTCTGTGAGCAGCAACTCTCTCACACCAAGTGTTGTTCTACACTCTCTTCTACTCCTGCGCCCTTCTTTCCCCTGGCAGTGATGTGACAGGGCTTTCCGTCAAAGACTGTTCTAAAGAAATACATTTGTGTGACAGGGGTTCCTGCTGTAATAGAGGCAAGAACACAGTGACCACCTAGCGTTCAAATACCATTACTACCCTGAGACCACTGGGATTGTGTCAGCCCATCAGGATTCTCCCGAATAAGCTTGTCTTTCCCAAAACTTAGTTGAAGTCTCTGGTGATGGTGCAATTTAACTATTACTGAGTCTTCGTTGTAGGAAGTGGAAGCTGCGTGGCTCTTTGGGTTGTTGCATGTATTAGCATATGGTTGACAAGTACAGATGCTTAGGTTTGTGGTGTTCAGTATGGTACCACTAATTCCAACTGGCTGTTTATAATTTAGTTAAAAATTCGTTTCTCAGCTGCACATGACTCGTGGGCATCATATTGAACAATACAAATATAGAGCATTTTCATCATGGCAGAAAGTACTGTTAACAGTACTGCTTAGATATGTGGAAATAACGGAATTTAAGACCCTTTAATGGTCATCCATTTAAACTCCATATTTAACCCATTGGACTTGTTAATAGGTATTTTAGGTCTTAATTATATATCCTTATGAAAATGAATAAGCATATCCTTGTTCTCTATGCAGATCAAAACTTGAGATTCCTTGATGAACCAGAGAAGTACCTTTATAGTTTATTCCTAAAAATTGCAGAGTAGCATCCCGTAATTAAATAGAGCCTTGATTGTGAAGTTTGCAGACTAGCCCCTGAGTTCAAATGTAAGTGAACATTTACCAGTTGGTTATAACTTATAAGCTTATTTCACCTCTCTGAAGGAGGATTCATCGTATATACACTGGTGACATACTACCTTGCAGGACAGTTCAAGTTGGCCCTTCCTTGGCATTGTTACCGTGTGGAGAAGAGGAAAAAGACCAGCCATTGCCATTGAGTCAATTCTGTCTCATAGACCCTATGGGACAGAGAAGAACTGCCCCGCAGCATGTCTGAGGCTAATCCCTACCAAAGCAGCAACGGGTTGGCTTAGAACCGCTGGTCCTGCTGTTAGCAGCTGAGCACTTAACCACTGTGCCACTAGGACCCCTTTGGATGGATGAAAAGTAGTCATTACTATAAGGGTCCATAAGTCTCTATAGTAACTATTGTCTCATAAAATATCAAAATTTATTCTTTTTTGGAAGCATTGTGCTTAGGTTTCTTGAAACTATTAAAATAAGTGAACAGTTAAAATGATCACAGTCCACCTTTATTATCTGTTGTGGATATTGTTGCTTGTTTAAAGCTTTCTCGTACTTTTTAGCACTACCCATCAGAAATCTGGCACCCATATTATGTTGTGGCCGTAGACATCTTCAATCCCTTCATCTGGAATGTAACTGTTCAGACGTGTGTGCTGACATGCACGCACATTGCCTGCCTGGTGACGGGTGTTAAAAGCTCCAGGATTAGGGAGTGGTGGCTGTTGAGCCGACCCTCCCTCCCTCCCTTCGTGACCCTCCTTCCTGTGCTCCAGATTCCCCTCAGACCCCTTGTACTCAGACGGCTTTATACCCTCTCCCAGGGGGAGGACTGTTAGAGACTTTAAGGCAGTGGTTCTCAACCTGTGGGTCACGACCCCTTTGGGTGTCATACGACCTTTTCACAGGGCTCGCTGGGTCACCCGATTCATAAGAGTAACAAAATGACGGTGATGAAGTAGCAACAAAAATAATGTTTGGTTGGAGGTCACCACAACATGAGGAACTGTCTTAAAGGGTCGTGGCGTTAGGAATGTTGGGAATCCCTGCTTTAAGGGCTAGTATCTCATTTTTTAAAAATCATACTTCAGATCTCTTTTGTAACCTTGTTAGATACAAACCCTTTATGATCAAACTTGGCAATATGTTCAGTGGATTTTTTTTTTTTTTTCAGTTCAAGAGAGGATTGATTTTTAGTTAATTTTTGTATTAGTCTAGGTACTTTGGAGAAACAAATCCACAGCAACTCATGTATAAGAGAGAGTTTTATGTAAAGAAAATGTGCATCACGAAAACATCCCAACCCAATGCTGCCCAAGCCCACAAGTCCAACATTAACCCATTAACCCAACACCAGTCCACAAAGTCCTCCACCTCACAAAACAGAGGCAATGATGCCAACTGCAGGAGGAAAGCTGAGTCAGTGGACGAACAAGCATCTCAGCACTAGCAGGGGTCTCCACACGGCTGCTCCAGCACCCAGGGCTGCATCGGGATAGGTCCATGCGGCTTCTCCTTGGGGATGTCTTGTATGAAGTCAATCTTGCAAGCTGAAGCAGGGAACTATCAAGGCAGCTGCACCCCGGTGCGACCATCACAAAGCAAGAGACCTGAGAAATAGAAAGGGGAAGCTCACCACCCATTTATCCCTCCGCCTTTCAATCAGCCCCACATGTGATCATCGGCCAGGCTGGCACAATTGACTAACTCAATTTTATACACGTTCATTGGGAACAGTATTAGTCTTTGATTATGGCATTACTTTTATTTTGGGGTTTCCAGTCTCCCATTTAAGATAATTCTCAGTCATTTCCTAATTCTTTGAAAATGTGGTATCAGGAACCATTACTTTAAACATCCTTTGTTTGCTTACCATTTTATATGTATAAATGGTGACATGAAACCTGTTTGTTGAGGACCTAATGCAGGGGTCTTAAGTGGAGAGGAAATATTTTGAGAATGATGAGGGCAATGAATGTACAAATATGCTTTACACAATTGATGTATGTATGGATTGTGATAAGTTGTATGAGCCCCTAATAAGACGATTTTAAAAAACTGTTTAAAAAAAAAGAAACCTATTATACTGAAAAAACATACTGACTTTTGAAGTGAAGAGCCTTTAAATTATAAAAATGGTACAAATAATAAAGTCTTTGGGGTTCCAGATGTATTCTTAAAGTTACCCCAAGCCACAGTAGAACCCTTTGCAGATTTTACAGCCTTTACAGGTCATAATGGACTTTTATTGTCTAAATATCTTGCTAGGTTCTATAGCCTCAGTGTTGGAGATTTAAACATACATCAGACAAGTACGCAGACAGGACCTAGGGTACTTACAGCCTACATGCCTGGCCATCATGTACACACAAGTCTGCTCTGTGGTGATTCTCTGAAGCTTTTTCACTGTCGCCTCAGTTAGTTGTGCCAGTTGAAAGGAGAACCCACTCCCTGGGGAGGGAAACTGAGGGTGGAAGCAGACTTCACAGAAACCATTGCTTCCCACTGGCATCTCACTGTTCTTTCTCCGTTCGTAAGAAGAGCTCATAAGGAACTAGACATACACACTCGTGAGCTTTCGCACTCTCCCTTTCTCAACACTGGCCCTTGTGGCATTTGATGTGCAACAGTGGAAGGCAACCATGGCCGTGTTGTGACTTTTTAAAGCACCTGTACCAGAACTCCTCCCCTCAGGTGAGTGCTGACTTTCAGAGTCGTTTGCTTAGGGTGTGCCCTCGCTCGGAAAAGAACCTGGCGCCCCACAGTTGTGCAGACTTGGTCTCCAGGGGGAGTAGTGAGCCACACCTCGTTGTCCTTCGTCCTCTCCGCGCTGTCATGTAGGCTCTCGTGTTGATTTTGGTCAAAGCTTGGCAGTGTCACTGACTTGTTAACTGATCTGCATTTAGCTCCCTAGTTACTTTCTTACATTATGTACAAAAGACTAACTTCAGCATGTCCGATGTGACAACTTTGAGACACAGAATAATGGCATTTGGGCGTGCCTGTAGTTCTGAAAGCAGAGTGCCAAAAATCGTATAGCGGCAGCATTGTTGGCATAAGGCTATTGCTGGCTGGCTGGCTGGCATAGTCTGGCCTATTTATTGAAGGATCAGTTGCATTTTCTTAACTTGTTTCAGCCTTACACTAAGCCAGCTGCGCCATACTTCATAATTTGGGCCTCCTTTGTCACTTGTTGCTGTGTAGCCCAGTTCTGGGATAACACACCATACAGTGTGTCATAGTTGCTAGTCCTGCAATCTGAGCAACTCACACTTTAAGATGGTGAAGAAGCGATGTGTGGGTTTTATTATTGCGCTTTTTATACTCTGAATTCAGAAAATAGGGGTGATCATATGTGTGAGGACAAATGGTAAGTTTTTTAAAAAATGGAGTTACTTGTTTTCAAGGCTTTTATGTTTTTATTTTTCTTGTTTCCTGCAGGACGGCAATGATTCAGATGAATTTATGTGAACGGAGGGAAGGACCTTGTAAAGATGTGGATTTCGGCACAGTTGCAGCCATTCTGAGATCTGCTGTGTGCTGGATTCCAGAAGGCAAACGACCAAACTTCTACTTGCATTCTGTACAAATACTGATTTTGGAGATTAAAAAAATTCTCTTTTTTTTTGTGGACAGAAAAGGAACAGATATATGTAAAATACAGTTGAACTTCAAAAGAGCATATAACTTTAGGAAAGTAAAAATATTTTTGCCAGAGCATGTATCTCCGGAAAGTTGGCTGGCCTTGTTTTTGTTTTGTTTTTTAAGTTAGAAAGAACTAACTCTGAGAAAGATGCCTTTTATTTGGTCTCCCCTTGAAAGATGATTCGTAACGAGTTTTTGTGTTGGTGGGTGATATATGGGAATGTTCTCCCACCCCTGATTAGGAAAAGTAAAAAAGCATTGAGGCCTCTGGGCCCTAAAGAGGCTGGTGGTCACCGGCTTCGGTGCTCCTGTCCGTTGTGTGGTCTCAGTCTGCTAGCACAGTGGTCCTCAGACTCTCAGCTCCTCCGAGCTTCCTTTGAAGGAGAGCCTCCCTCTTAAGACAGCTAGGAATAGTTGCTGTTGCTCAAGATTGAGCCTCGAGGAAGTGAATCATCTGAAGGTGTAGATTACCTGAATTGTGTCGTGGGATGTGGCATGAAGCAAATGCGTACCTTATAATCAGATGTTTGCTCCCCAAAGAATTGTATTTCACCAGTCTGCCAAGTAATTTATTTACCTTGAAATAAGGTTTGAGTTGTAACCCGAGAGGTCAGCTTTCTTCACTGCAGATTTAGTGATTTTAAGATAGAACCTGACTGCTGATGTCACCTCCTTCCCACTGCGATGCTGAATGGCAGGTGCATTTTTGTGGTGGCCTGAAAGGAAACCTGCACTGGCAGGGAAAGAGGAGAGAAGGCCCGCAGAGTGGGAGGGGTAGGAACTCACAGCCCTGCAGACCCCACCCAGAATTCCACGGGCAACACCGGTATCCGCAGCTGGATTCTCATCCGGCCCAAAGGAGAAATACCCTCCTGCTATGAGAATTGCTCTACTTGTGGCAGCACTTTGGCACTGTGAACAAACCCGGAGGACTAGTATTTGAATAGAGCTCGAGTTGTTGGATTGAACTGGAAATTTCCTTAGAGACATTACTCTCTGGTCAACTTTTGAGGAGGTACAGAAGACAACTCCAGAGATTAGTGAGTGAGTGTGCGCGTACGTGTGTAATATTTGGGCTGGTGGTGTGCATTAAAAATAAAGTATCACTTTTTACTTTGAAGAACATCATCATGTGAATTCTTAGCATTTGCTTGTTAAAACCATCCTTAACTGGTATGACGGGGATCTGGCTGTAACCCGGGTGTTAAAGGATCACTCTGCTGGGTTCTGCAGGGGTATTACTCCCTGCCTTGGGGAGAAATGCATCCAGACCAGCTAGCCACTGGCTGACAGTGAACGACTTTTCCCTTGATTGAGTGCAAATAGGTAGCAGTGTTTCTTTAATAGACAGCTTTCCTGCATCGATGTTCTAAGAACTGGTAATGCTCTGCTCTGTGCATTTAAACGTGGGGAGATTTGTCTCTAGCCTTCCCTGCGCCTCTCTTCTGCTACAGGACTCCCTGTACCCCACCCAAAAAGCCTCACGGTCATGGGGCAATGCAAACTCATAGTGATCCCCAGTGGGTTTCCAAGAATAACTGCTAATGGGAGTTGAAAGCCCAGTCTTTCATCTGAGGAGCGACTGGTGGTTATGAACTGCCAACCATGCAGATCCTAGCCCAACGTGTAACCACTTCACCATCAGTACCCTACATGGCATAGATATTGTGGGGACACACACGCACACAGAGCTTCTGGAGAATGTTATTTTTACTGTAGTGTGGGAGACCTGAGGTCCATATTTTAAACCCTTAATAACTCAGCTTATGCTGGTTAAAAATGCCAAGGCCACCTCTCTCATAGTTTAATTCCTAGTTCGCTGATCCTTGCATTTCTCCCATTCTAATTTCCCCTCATCTCTGCCTTGATTTCTCCCCGTTGTGTCTTAAAAACAGAGACCTTTGCTTTTGAGGATAGAGATGCTGTGCCAAGTCACCTCCTTTCTTGCTGTTGGCATGTTTCCTTAATTTCCCGTAGAAAAATTCCGAGTTGTTGATACTTGTGTGCTGACTGCTCCCAGGTTTGGGTTGCCGCTCCAGCTGGACTGCACTTCCACCACCTGTCCCGTCGGCTGTCATGCACTGCACACCTGGCTCGCAGGCCGAGTGGCTGAGAGGGCGTGTTTTTCACGCACCGGCTTGGTCTTTTGGCCTCCCCATCGTTGGGCGAGCGGCCAGAACAAGAAAGCATCGAGCGCCACACCCTTTTGTCCACTGGGCAGTTTCCCCAGAGGTCAAGGATTTTGGCATAAGCAGCAGAAGTTGACCGGTTTAGTTAAACCCCTTGTTCTGTAGTTGATTTAATCCTTTTGCACCCTTCAGTCAGACTTTTTTAAAAACAAACTTAGCCCAAGAAGTAAATGTATCAAGCAAGCAGCCCAGTCCAGATCAAATCCATTAAGCCCAATACTCATCCATAAGTCCCCCTTCAGACTCATGCAGCCACTTGCAATGATGCAGAATGCAGGAATAGCAGGCCGGTGGGTACAAAGTCGTGTGGCTCCAATGGCTGTTGTAGCATCGTAGGGTCCTGGTAGCAATCAGTCTGCCAGCCGGAAGGTGATGGCAGAGAGAAAGGAGGTTCCCAGGACCCTCTGGATGAGAAGGCCACGCCCACAAGGAGGCACCCTAAGGCTAAATACCATCCCTGCACTTCTGTATATATCTTCGGGTTGACATGAAATGATGTAACTACCCTAGTCCCGTTATCTTTAAATTCCACTTTCTCACGAACTTTGAAGTCCCCCTCGTATCTCTCTGTAGTCACTGGCCATACTGGCATCCTTTGAACTGCCTTATAACGAGTTGGCCTCTGGGGCATCTGCTTTGCATGAAGTAATCTATATAGGGAATATAGATTGACACCAGAATATTCACACTGGAAAACATGGAGACCCACATGTATACATTAGGAGCACGTCTCTGCATTGGAAATTCCTTTACCCATTAACCGTGCTTCATCGGACTATATGAGAGGCTTCTCAAAGCTTATGGGAAATTCCATGAGCTTTTAATTCCACGAGCCTTTGGAAGTCCCCTTGTCATGCCTCTTGTTTTGCTATTTGCTATTGCCTGTTTTGCCTTTCTGGTGGTTTGGGTAGATTGAGGGGACAGCTAGCTTTCCACCTTGGTGCCTGTGACTGTACGTCTGCTCCCCAGCCAGATGGAACCAGACATGGGGCTGTGCCGGGGTCCTCGCTGACACCCTCTTGTTTGTTACAAGCAAAGAAGCGCGTGCCTGCTCTGTAGAAGTCACATGTAGCTTTTACTGGCTCCCCAGGCAGTGAGTGGGTGTTGATATCTAACGGGGATGTGGGGGGGGCGGTAGCGGTGAACTCTCCAAGTATTTTTATTTATGACCACATCAACCCCATCCTTTAGCCTCTGCAGTAAAAATGGAAGCCCTGTACCTGATGTTCCCTACCTTGCCTGGAGGCCTGGCCACCTGGGTCCTGACTGGTCTTCTGGTTTCTGCCTCCGTGGTTGGCCTTACACAGAGAAAACTAGCAGTTGCTTATGATTTCAGGATAGAACTGGATTCTTCCCAGTGTTAAAAGGGGAATATGTCAGTTTTGAGCCTTTGGGGATCTTGGGGAGGGCAGCCCAGGCAGGGTCCACAGCTTAGGATGCCAGATGGAAGAGGCAAAGTGTTCGTGGAGGCCTGGGGTGCACCACATCAACCGGCTCAGCCTGCCAGGGGACTGAAGCATGAAGCCCGTTACATCATCTTACACACGCCCAAACTTTGAATTGGTACTCCATCGCTACGGGACTCCACACCAACGAGGCTGCATGACTTATTCTCAAATGAGAATGCCTGGGAGGTCTTTGGGCAGGCATGGAAGGTCTGGACTAGACCAAACCTAAATTTGGTCACGGAGAAATGCTTGCTGTGGGTGCCACTGGTTAGGAAATGTTTTCTGTTTTCAACAAGAAGGAAGAGGGCCTGTGTTCCTCATCCCCACTTCTAAGTGCCCTCCACCATGCAACTTTTCACCACCACGGGGAGTGTCATGTTGCCATGGGTAATACCAGTTGTTAAGCTAGACTTTATAGCAGGAAAAAAAGGGTGACCAGAACTTACTAAAAAAAAAAATCTCACTGCCGGCGAGTCGATACTGACTCAGGGAGTCTATGGGACAGGGCAGAATGCCCCAGTGGGTTTCCCAGACTAACTCTTGACGGTAATAGCAAGCCTCATCTTTCGTCTGAGGAGCTTCTGGTGGTTTCAAACTGCTGACCTTGCAGTTAAGCAGCCCTGCCTGTAACCACACGGCCAGAACAAAATGCATGAACTACCTTGGCTTTCTCCCACATGCCTCCCATCTCCCTCACTTTCGTTCCAAACAAGACGCCCCTTGAGAACATCAGGGATTGGTGTTGGCGGCAGGGAGTCAGTCCCGCCTCCTGGGGACTCAGGCACAATGGGATTGGACCCATGGAGGTTTGATTTGATTTCCAGAAGTCACCCAGCCTTTCTCAGCCTGTCCTAGTCTGAACACTGCTGGAATCTGTTTAGCAGCACAGCAACAGTCGAGCCTCCCCTGGTAGAAGGGTGATGACTGTCCACGAGGTGACTTGTCCAGGAACAGAACCCCTTCCTCGCACATGAAAGGCAAGAATTCTACCCCTGAACCAGCATCGAACCTGGGTGCATGGAGCCCATGTCAACTCTTGGCAATGCCAGGGGCATTAGGCTAGAACTGTGCTCCACAAGGGCTTCAGGGGCTGCTTTGAAAGAAGGTCGCAGACCTTCCCAGGTGCCTCTCGGTGGGCTGAAACCTGGAGCTTGAATCGGCAGCCTAGCATGTTAATCCTTGGCACCACTCAGGGGCTCTTGACTGATTATGAAGAAGTTAAATGAAACATGCAAACCTTTCCTCATCTAAGCATGCTGGTTCCTCCCCTCCGGCCCTCCACTGGAGTGGAGGGCTGCCCGGAATCTCCTGCAAAGCCAGAATCAGGAAGAATACTTTTTAGTTAGTTGAGTTATATTTATCTAATTCAGAAAGATGTTCAAAGGTACCGGGCAAACTGTGTTCTCGGTTCCCTTAGTTGAGGTCAGCCAGTATGCCCCTGTGTGGCAGGGCAGGGCTCAGCTCGGCTCTGGGATGCTGCCTACTTTGTGGCTCAGCTCAGAAAGCAGGAGAGCAGAGACCTTTCTCTGCCCAGAGAAAATGCCCTGGGGCTTCCCAGACACCAGCGCTGGCAGCTGGGGCTTGGGGGAGACAGTTCAGAAATAGGAAGGTAGGTTAAGAGACCCAGGGTGTTCCCACCCACAGCCCAGTTACAGGATGGTCCTCCTCTGCAAGCTCAGGGGGAAGTGGCAGACTGCTCACCTTCATCTTTTCTTGGGGTTGGGGAAGAAGTTGGAGTGGGGTGAGGGGTAGGCGGGTCGGGAGGGGCAGCTAGGGGGTAGGAACAGGACTGGCCTCAGGCAACTCAAAATGCCAGTGCCCCTGCTCTCTCCCCACTCCTGCCCTAACCCCCACCCTCTTCCTTAGTTGCCCCCAGGGCCCAGGGTCTCTCTGTAGGCCCTCTGAAAGCAGGTAAAGAAAGCTCTAAGGTGGGCGAGGAGTGACTCCCTCAGGAATGTGGAGCAGGGGAGCACCCACTCAGCAGACAAGGAAAGGAGTCCAAGCGAGGGTGGATTTGAGGCTGGAGCGCGGCGACTTTTCTAGGTGACTTGAGACAAGCCCTGTGTCCTCTCTGGGCCCATCTGAAAAGGTCAGGGGTGACAGGAGAGGTGGGTGGGTATGTGCACCCATTAAAATGCACGGGGAGCTCTTCTAAAGGGGCACCCACCACTCAGTCTGCCAAGTGGTGACACGGTGAAAATGAAGATCTGTAAGATACAGAAGAGAAACCAGTCTAACTGGTTCATTGAAAGGGCTGGACTTGATGGGCAGGGAAAGGGAAATGGATTCTGCCAGCCACTGCTTTCAACAGTCCCCCAACTTCTCTTCCCCACCCTTTGATACTAGGACAAACAGCGTAGACTCCCCGACTTTCTGATCACTTTCCAATGGGAGAACAGTTCCATTTTAAAACCCGGACTCCCTTCTGGTATGTAAAAATGTTAGTTTGGTTAAAATAAAAACTTCAGTCTCCTATATAATTC